AGAGTTTGGAGTGAGGGAAAGAACCGACGAATGTTTTCCGGTGAGCCGAGCTATTCCAGTGAGTTCCCAGTGAGGTTCGGGACTCTTTTCTTGTGCCGATTCCGGTGGGCGTCGAGGCTTGGAGTAACGAGCCGACCTCCAACCCTGAGGCGTTATTACCTCGGGCCACTTTGCACCATGGACTGAGCCGATATCCGCCGTCCCTTCGCCGCCAGTGAAAGATTGAATGAAGAAAAGAGTCGATTGAAGGTTTTCGTCACTGTCGGAAGGAGTTCTGGAGAAGACGATCGTAGTCTCTGTTCGGCGCTGTCCGTAGGAGTCTGCTGCAGAGCCGATGCTATCCAGCCGCGCTTAGCTGCTGGTTACCGGAAGGAGAGTCGCTATCGCCGTTGTTCGTCGAATCGTCGGAATAAGCTGTCGTGAGTATCAATCTCGTAAGGGAGTTTTCTTCAAATTCTATTCTGGAGTGTTGATTATTAATTGAGTTTTCTCCAAATTCCAAAGGATTTTTGGGAGAAGCCTTGATTACGGCAGCCTATTTAATCAATAGGTCCCCGTCGGTCCCTTTGAAGGGAACTTGCCCCGAATCGATTTGGTGTAGGAAAGATATAGACTTGTCCAACCTTAGAGTCTTTGGTTGTTCCGCTGTTATTCGTGTTTCTAGTGATAAGTTGGAACCTAGAACTTTAGAATGCATTTTCTTAGGATACCCCGAGGGAGTTGAGGGGTATAGGTTGTGGCTAACTTCTAAACCGGGATTCAAAACTTTTGTGAGTCGGGATGTGATGTTCAATGAACATGTGATGCCTTGTTTGATGAATAATGTGCTAAATGAGATAAATGAAACTCTTAGTGATTTGAATAAGACCTCAAATGAGGTGGAGCATAATAAAAGTGTTATGTTTGAATTCGAAAATGTTCCAGCACGCACCGAGACTAAATCTGACCCGAAAAGAGAATCTAGAAATTTCCAGAATATGCCGAGACCAAATTTAACTTCTGAAAATTCTGAAAATCTGTCCCAAAATGTTTTAAATTTTGAAAATGTGCAAAATCTGTTTGAAAATGTTTTGAATTTTGAGAATTTGCATGAACGGTCTGATTTACATGAAAATTCTGATTGTTTAGATTCGGATTTAAATATAAAAAGCCCTGGATTAGAGAATAATCAATTGACTAGTGATAGAACTAGTAAGATAATTAGAAAATCATCTATGTTTGATGATTTTGCTAATATTTTTCTTGCCTTTGATGTTTTTGAATATGCAAGTGGGATTGAACCAAAAAATATAGTAAAGCAATAAAATCAACATATAGAAATGAGTTGGTTAAGGAAATTAATGAAAATAAAATTGGACATGGTCTTTTGAAAAAGTATCTTTATGTTTTGAAACATATAGACATTAGTTGTCATTTCATTCATGAGGTAGTGTCTAAATGTTTGATAAAACTTGAAAAGATATTTTTTGAAAATAACCCTGTGGATATGGGATTAAAGATTTTATCGGTTACGAAATTGGAATTGGGTAAGAAAATGGTGTATATTGATACTTTGATTAGAGATGTGTTTGAAACTGTAAAAATAGTAATTTAATCACTGTTTTTTGGAAAGTAAAAATACACTGTTTTTCTTAACTGTTTTAAAAGGATGTTTTGCTGTTGTTTTCTTATGTAGATAAAATGTCTAAATACTAATCGTGTTAATAAGTCCGCAGGTTAAAAGACTGGAAGCAATTGATGATTCGGACTGTGATAACAGCCACTTTTAAAGCACATTCTTCATGCCCAAAAATGTAGAGATTTGTGGAGTTTTGGGCCAATGAAAAAGAGACCCAATACAAATACAACCGACCCGCCCATTTGAAGCCCAAATCCGTAACTCGCAACCCGACCCGAACATCTCTGTGAGACTTGTTGGCTGGATCTGTTGGATCGCTGAACCGGTTTGAACCGATCTAGACTGAACCGGTCTGATCTGATTCTGTATATATAGGTTGGACCGTCTCATTCATTCAATTCAGAATAGAGATAGAACATATCACGATTCTTCTCTCAAGCCCTAGGCGATTCCGTCGACGTCGCCTGCGTTCTCCAGTGATTTTGTTCGGCAATTTGGGAAGCTCTCCCTCTCCTTCGACACGCACCTTCCCCCTTGGTGTTTCTACGGTTTGATTGCTCGATTTGCGTCTTACTGTTGGTTCGCAGTGTAATATTGTCTGCGATGGTATTAGGCTTTAATTTCGGCAATGTTTCCTTAGATTAGAGTTCGGATTTGAGTGTTAGTTGCGATTCTGTGGCGAGTCATTTGTGGCTTGGGTCTTGGATGTATGTTCCATGTCGGTTTGGTTGATACGTGGGTAAAATTGAGTCCGAGTAGATTGCTTCCGTAATAATAAAAAATTCTTTAAGTTTTTGTTAGATTCGAAATATTCTTATGCGAATATGTGTTGTTGATCTTGGATTAATAACAACAGCGGAAAATATAATTATATTTTAATCTAAAAATAGAGTGCATATATATAGGCATATATATGTGAGCCCCAAATAACAATATATAAAAATATGCTAACAAACAACTCTAAATTCTTACTTTTGAGAAAAAAAAAAAAAAAATAATGGAAAGAGTAAAGGAGAAAATAATAATATTGATGAAATGAAAATTGGAAATTAAAAAAAAAAAAAAAAAAACCAAACTAACCGTTAAAATTTTATGTCTCCATTTTTTTTTAAAACGGAAAACAAAAATAATTGAAATAGTATTTAAAAATAACCGCCAACACCGACAGTTTTACTGGGAGATTAATATTAAATGCGGCATCTATATCCCAACCGCCAAGTTGGATGGTCAATTAAGGCTACCATTTAATTAAAATGCAGCCATACGTAAATTTAATAATATTGTTACGTATGTTTGCTTAATTTTTTTAATTGAGGTAATTTTTACTTAGAAATATAAAAAATTGACTTGATAATAGTCACATTTTGAATTTGATGTTAACTTTTTGTATAAGAGAATAGAATACATATTCCAATCGTTTCAAAATAATAATTTTATTTTGTCATTTTTTGTCAATTTTAAAATAATAGCCTTATTTTAAAATAATTACCTCCCTGTCTTTTACATAATTATTTTAATTTTTATACAATAATTATATAAAAATAAGAGTATTTTAGTCTTTTAGAAACACTTTTACATCTATTATCAATATAATACTATTATTTTTTAATTATCGTGTCCGACCATCCCAAATGTCCCAGAGGAAGTATATTTTATATATATTGAAACTTGTATCAGTAAAAAAATTATTTAAGTGACAAAAGCATTTGTTTTATTATTTTTTGTTTTGATTAGTTTTGGCACCATTTTTAAGTGGTATAATTTTATTAGTTTATATATATATATATATAATGAAAATTTAAAAAAAAAAAAAAAATTGTAACAAAGAGACTTCCAACAAACAGTATTATTTAAAATTTAAAAAGAATCCGCAAACGAACGTAAGTTGAATTTGACTTTGAGGCAGAGTTTTAAACCTCAAGGTTGGAAGTAAATTTTTACAACTTGACTGAATTGTTATAAGATATGATCTTTAACAATTGGAATTACTTATGAAATATTTGACTTGATCATCCTTCGGACGTAGATTATTCTAATCGAATTTGATCCAAAATGTATTTTGTATTTTGTGTTCTTTCTTTATTGTTCTTTATTTTTTAATTTTCACAACATTTTAATGTTTTGTAAAATTATGTTCAATCTATCATATTATAATTTTAGTCTATCTATCAAAAGTATACTACTACATTCAATATGAAATATAATTTTTACTTAAATCTATACTCACTATTGTTCTATTTATTTATATAAATACTATTGATGAACCCTATATATGTATATATACATATATTATATTCTAATCTAAATATTATATTACCAATTATATAAAATTTGAATTCTACCGTTATAACTATTGATATACCTTAAATCTAGTTTATCACTTCGCTAAGTTTTCATAAGGATATCGCTGACCGGTTAGGGAGTCTGGGGTCAAGGGGGCGCCCCCTTTCTTGGGGATCCGGGGGCGCGGAGTGGCCTCCAACCCGACAATATGTAGTATTAGGCTTTTGAGTTAGTATTGGGTTGAATTTGTTTGATGTATTCTCTTGATTTATTTAAATAGACTTAGAGATATAAAATTTGTAATCTCTAACGTAGCCGTCTTCAATAAATTAAGCACTATGCTGACACCACTTCGCAGCACACGGTGTGCGGTCAGACATCACACGGTATTGCTATAGACAACACATCATATGCATTCATATAATATAAATACAACACATAAACTAATATCACATGCTATAGTTTTACACAACACAAACAATATTTGATTTCAGAACATCACATACTGTTATAATATTACTCAAATATAAACACAACACATAAACTACAACACATGCTATAATATTACACAACACAAACGATAGTTGATTTCAACAAACCATATACTGTTGTTATACAACACACTTATAATTATGGACCAACAACATATGTCTTTATTATACAGAACACGTGTGTATAATAAAACTGTATGATATTTGTATATATTACGAGCGCTGGTTTGCACGGTGCTGATTTTTTCAATTCAGCACCCTAACCGTTCTTATTTATATTTAAAAACAAAAAAAAAACACATCAAAATCTATTTTATTACAAATATAAAGCATAATATATATTTTTAGTTTTTTTTTTTTAACTATGTAATTCACCATTTTCTATAAAAAAGTGTATAATATTTTATATCACATAATATTATATTCTTCAAAACATTATATAAATCAAGATTATAATACAAAATCTAATACAAACCAAACATACCAAAATTAACCCAAAATATTTGTAATATTTAAAAGAAAACGAACAAACAAATACACCTTATACTCTTCAATGGAGAGGGCTTTCTTGGTTTGCCTATATATATATATATATATATATATATATGTAGCCTTATCCTTTGAACATAAACACAACATAAATACACACTTCCCATTTCACACATATACACACAACCATTGTTCGAAACATGGCCGATACTTCGCATACAAAAATCGGAGACAAGTACCGGTCTTTCTTACACGACCAACCCGACGATGTAGTATGGCGCCATGGTGGCCCCCCCACTTATGATGCCGTAAACCACCTCTTCGAACAAGGCCGGTCCAAGGTGAGGCACCCCGATTAGTTAGGATCTATTTAGATATGATTTTTGAAAGTTTTAGAATTTTGAAATTTTTTTAAAATAGTAAAATATTGTTTATTTTCATGCAATATTTTATAAAAAAATAAATATTTGATCTGATACCTATTTGTTAGATACATGGAAACAAAACCATATATAAAGAAAGATCAATAGATCTCCCCGGCTTCCATATATATATATGCTTGTGTGCGCGCGGTTGTATGAATGTTGAATTTGATTTTATTTCGAGGTAGGAATGGGAAAAGGGATCGTTGGAAGAGGTGGTACAAAATGCGATCAAGTCGTGGGAGATGGAGTTGTCTCACAAGATTCGCCTTCAAGATTTTAGGACAATAAGTCCTCAAAAGTTCAAACTCATTGTTAATGGTAACTAAATTCAATAAGTTCACTGCTTTACATATAATCATCTTAAATTTTAGGTAAAATTGCTTATAACTCCTCTGTGATTTTAAAATTCAGCATAAAATTTTCATATACTTTAAAAATTGCATGGTACCCCCTTATACTTTAAAAAACGTTGCATGAAACCCCACCACCATGAAACTTTCCTCCTGTGATAAGAAGATTTCCTATTTATATGTTTTTCATGGCAGAGGGGGTTTTATGCAATATTTTTGAAAGTATAAGTGAGCGTCATGCAATTTTTTAAAGTAAAATGAGAATTTATGCTGAGTTTCGAAACCACAAAGTGGTTTCATGCAATATTTTTTAAAGTATAAGGGGGCATCATGAAATTTTTAAAGTAGAGGGGAAATTTACGCTGAGTTTCGAAACCACAGGGGAGTTATGGACAATTTTGCTTAAATTTTATAAAAAATATATATATTTATATGCATGCTTAATTTTAATGATTTTTTTTTCCAATATATAATTAAGTTTCAATTGTTTTGCAATCTAAACCCTAACTGTTCATTTGATTGCCGAATCCTACAATTCTTAGTGCGACATGCATGTGTATAGTTAGGCTAAAACTTTAGATATATAAAACTTAATGCATAAAATTATATAAATAGTTATAAAATAAAATTGGTAACTGAAATTGAAAGCAAAATACTTATTTCGTCAACACCTTGCAATATTTTTACTTTTAGTATGTCTTAAACTAATATTTATTAATAGAAAATAATTAAAATATAAAAAATAAATATATGCTTCTTCTCATTATATCATATAATTATCAAATTATCGTATTTAATACTATCCACTTAAATTTCTGTGTCGGAAACAAATATTGCATCATATTTGAGACGTATAGAGTATATTCGAAGCTTTATATATATATAATTTGATGGATAGAGTTTTTGATTGCTACAAGAAAAATTGAGTCATGATGTTCATCATGAAACTTCTTCCATTGATTTGAAAATGATACCTACCTTTATTAATATTTCATACTTTGAATTGGGCAAATTTATTTAATGTTGTGGGGTTGAGACAATTGATTGGTGATGTCTATGTTGTTTATGAACGATTGACTTTGATATATTTGAAATCAAATAATACTTCTTTTTGTTGCAATATTTTTATTTTATATACCTTTGATACAAATTTTGAAAGTTTATTTTTGATAATTTTAAATTTTAAATTATTTTTCTTTTTAATATTTGTTTGGGATAATTTTATAAATTATATTTTGAGCAAATAGAGAAGAAAATTTGGGTGTGAATCAAAATAGAGTTAACATTTTTACAATATTTCAGATTTAAAATAATAATGAAAGATTTGAAATTAATATACTCCTTTAATTTCATTGTATAAAATAGGGTTTGGTTATTAGGTAAAATACATGTATAGTAGTTATATTTGATTTTAAATAAATAAAATATTTTGATGAATATAATTGTATATATCATCTTCATATGAATTTAAATGATACATAATATAAATGTATAAATTTTAACAAAATAAGAATTCTATGCTTATTTTTAACTTAAATGAAATCAAGTTTTACAGTAAATTTATGAATAACACCTTATGAATATATGTATACATATATATATATATATATTTCTTCCGATTATAAATATTAATTTACACAAAATTAAATATGCTCTCTTAGTAATTACTAAAGGTGTTTGACAATTAGCGAGTAAATTTTAGCTATAAGCTGATTCGATTAGTTGTTAGTTGTTAGCTGATTCAATTAACTGATTTTATTAGCTGATTCGAGTAGTGATTTGGTATTAATTGTTTATACGTAAAATGATCATCGGGGGCATTTACATTATATTTAAAAAATTATATTATTTAGAGTTTAGAATTTTTGATAATTTTTTGTATTGGTTATCTAAAATTGTGAAAGTAATGTTAATATATTTATTTTGCTATTTTAAATATTTTGTAAAATAATAATATATTTTTACCAAAAAAGATAATAATTTTTGTATTGAAAATAATATAAAATATAAAAGAACAATTTTTAGTATATCTATCTTAACACTGATTTAGACGCAATATTTTATTAGTGTAAATATTATTTTGTTTTTATATAGAATTATAAAGATTAAATTGTGAAAAAAATGAAAAAAAATATATATATTATTTTTTTATGCAATTTATTTAAATTTTCTTATTTTTATAGTTGTCTTAACAAGATAAAATAAATTATATATAAATGGGAAAATATCATTACCATTTGACAATTTATGGACAAAAAATTTTCGAAATTAATTGTAACCTCACAAAACTCTTGGGTATCAATCTGCCTTCGTGGAACAAATTAATTTAGTAATTAATGGCTGCCTAAAGTTTGCCTAAAATTTTTGATGTGTCAATATTTTAAGTTTCAATATATTTCATAGGAAATAATGGAAAGATTATTATATATATATAGCTTTTTAAAAAAAGTATGGTTTGTTTGTTTGTGTTTGGGTATTTGTTTGTTTGTTTGTGGGCTTTGAAAGAAAAAAAAAGTAATTTAGATAAACGTCAGCAGCACTGTGCTAATTTTTCTGAAAAGGACGTATTGATTTTATCCAGAGAAATTTTTAGTGCAAATAACGTTGTCTTTTTAAAATAAAATTTATGTATTATATGTTTATTTTTTTTAAATTGATACTTTACAGAAGTATGTCTAGTGTTCTATAGAGTATATACCGTGCTCTGTACAAATATATATATAGTGTTATCTAAATTTTTATTGATACTATCAAAATAATTGAACGATACTTTACGAAGATTGAACGATGCTAGAAGAGAAAATTCGCCAATGAAAATAATCGAAAAATGAAAGTAAAATTATATTATCTATTCTAAATCTAATGGGGCATGTAATAATATGGTTTGTTTGGTTTTGATTTGAGTTTTAGTTTTAATGAGATGTTTTATGATATAAAATAATACTTCATTTGTCCACTTTAACTTATGCACGAAGTTTTAGGTATTGAATAATTAGTAAGTAATTAAGAAGTGTATTATAGTAAAAATAACTATAATTTAATAAAAATAAATGTAGATTAAGATTAAGATGACTAAATAGTTTATTTAAAATATATATTTTTTAAAATTATGAATTTAAAATGTTATTAAAGTGTATAATTATATTTGCAGAAAAAAAAAAAGAACAAATTATGTGAGATGGAGGGAGTATATTTTTATTAAAAATTGTACTACCTCCGTCCGGCTCTAAGGGCCACGTTTATTTTTTACGTGTTGATTTTTTAATATCAATTATTATATAAAAAAGTAGTACAACTAAAAAAAAAATAGCAAAAATATTTTATTAATGTATTATAATACTACTTCGTTTGCACAAAAAAAAATTATACAGATATAATCTTCAAATGTGGATAGAGAGAGTATAAATTAAATATTACTCCCTCCGTCCCAGATACCATATCCATGTTGTCATTTCTGTCCGTCCCACGTACCATGTCACTTTCATTTTTTGGGAAATGATTACACACTTTAATTTCATTTTAAATTTTTAAATTTATTTTTTTTAATTTTAATTAAACTAATTAGTTATCTTAATCTTAATTTATAATTATTTATATTATAGGATAATTATTTTCACTGATACATTATTAATTATCTAATAATTACAACCCTCCTAAAATACAGTGTCTACAGTGTAGCAGACACGATATCTGAGACGGAGAGAGTATTAATTTCTATTAAAAGTACAAACCAAACACAATTTTTTTGGGGAAACTTGTGTCTTTAGTACGTTTTGAATTAGTCTCGACTTGTTGTACTACTTTAATTAAAAATTACTTGCGTGTTTTTACTTGTAATGTAGATTAGGAATCTTAATTATATAATTAATACTTTCTACATCCATCAAATATGTCATATTTTCTTTTTTATTTGTCCAGAAAATATATTTATTTATTATTTATAGCAAACATATATATATATCTTTTATATTTTTAAAATTTATATGTTTCAATATTATATTTATTTACAAATTTATCACAACAGTTTACACATTCAATTTATAATTTTTTTAAAAAAAAAATTTAATTACTCACTCATATACTTTTAAACATATTTATACTTTATCTTAAAATTAACCAATATAATAATATATTTATTAATACTATTTTCAGTTCAAATAAATATACATTTTGTGAACTGATAGATTGATTAATATGATTTAAAAAAATGTTCATTCTATCCCACTATAGCCAATATACAAATAAAAAATAAAAATATCATTAAATTTTATTTTATTTTATTTTTCTACAATCATCACCAATTCTCAAGTTAAATAGCAATGTTTTTATAACTGATCTAATATTTAAAAATCTCTCAAAATTATTACGCGTTCCTTGATATAATAAATTTATCCTATGTATATATATATATATACGTCTCTATTATTATTATTATTATTATTATTATTATTATTATTATTTCAATTTTAATTTTAGTCTGTTCTATAGTTTTCGTCCCTTAAATTTATGTCACGTCTTAATTAAAAAATCAAAACCGCCGAGCACAAATCTGCAAAATAAATAAATAAAAACCATTAGTGTAAATACACTCCCATCCACATCAATATAAATGTATATATATATATATATATTATTTATTATTTATTATTTAAAAAATATTACTACATTCGAACGTTTAAGTTACAGTACACTCACAAAAGCACGAGGTACAAGCCAATCAAGCTAATGGATTGGACCAATGCATGCAGGAAGAGAGGGGCTATCAGCAGAAGAAACCCTAAAACTTGGAAGCTACAATGCTCTGCTGAAAACCTCCATTCCCGACCACCTTAAATTCTACGACGCCGACAAGGAGACTTTCGACTCTTCCCATGACGCATTCCGCTCGGCTTTCCCCCGCGGCTTCGCCTGGGAAGTTCTGGCCGTCTACTCCGGCCCCCCACTTATCACCTTCAAGTTTCGCCATTGGGGATTCTTCGAAGGCCCCTTCAAGGCCCACGCTCCCACCGGAGAAATGGTCCAATTTTACGGTGTCGGAACCCTCAAAGTACGTAATTACTAAAATAATATTCGAAAGAATGAAGGATATATATATATTTTTTAACTAAGCTGGACTTACATAGATATTTTTAAAAATTTAAAAATTCACTAAAATAAAATAGTATATTCGTAACGGAATTTCGTCCCTAAAATTCACGTAGCTAACGTAGTTTCATTCCTAATTATGTTTTCAATGTCATTAGTAATGAAAAAAAGTAAATTTAGGGACAAAAAAATCTCGTTACAAAAATGATATTTTCTTTTAATGATTATTTATTAATAGTATTATTTTTTTAAAAAAAAAATCACATCAAATATACAAATTTTTTATTATTATTTTCAAAATTTTCCGAAACTTCCAAAATATTTATCTAAGAACACCCCTTTGCAACTTTACTTCCTCACTATATATATATATATATATATAAAATCCTTTCTCTAAAATATATCATATTTGAAACATAACTTTTATCTAAATTATTAAATAAAAAATATAGTCTCTATTTAGATAAAAGTTTTGAATTATAGAAAAAAAAAATGAATGATATATATATAATGTTATGTAATTAAGTGTTGGATGAGTATTTATATTAAATATAAAATTTTAATACAATATTCTAAATGAAGAAGAATATTTGATTTATATATATATAATATTACAATTGACTGTTAGTGTGAAGATTTTTAAAATTGTATATATAAAACAAAATAATTTTCTCTGCTAAAAAACCATTATATGTAATATTTATTTATATTACATCAAATACCTATTTATTTTAGATTTGATCTGACATGTAGGTGGATGAATCATTGAGGGTAGAAGATGTGGAAATTTACTACGATCCGGCGGAACTTTTTGCCGGACTTCTTAAAGGTCCTCCCGTCAACGATGGCGATCAGACATCCTCTAAATGTCCTCTCCATCATTAAATCAAATCGAATAAATTGGTACAATTAAAGGATAACTCTATGAGTATGTTTATGTATGGTTTGAATGTTGATTTTTTTTTTTTTTTTTTTTTTGAGTTATTATATAGGTATATGATGTTATGTTGTTTAATGGAAAATAAAACTTGGATGATATGTATTTATGGATAAAAACTAATTTCAGTGTTAATTGTATGATGTGAAAATGTGTTTTTTTTTTTTTTTTTTTTTCAGTTATGTCCACAATTCAATACTTCTTATAAGTTAATTGTGCTATAATGTTTTCTTCTAAGAATGTGGGAGGATTACGGTGAGACGAACACTACCAGAATTACATAGATTTATCTCGAATAAATTGTCTCGAAATCTATATAGATACGTGACAATTAATTGAATACTCTCGGCAATTGTCTCAAAACCTTTGCCGTGGCCGTTTCATTGTGACAATAAGGAAAGTCACGGAATGACAAAACAAATTGTCTCGTCTAATTAACTGAGAGAATGTTGTGACAATTCATTGTCTCAAAAATATTCACAAATGCCATTGAGACTATATTTTGTCTCAACAAAAGATTCCGTGACACAGAATTATCTCGAAACTTTTTTACCGAGACAAAATTTCGAGATAAATTGACATTTTCATGGTAGTGGAAGGTGCAATCTATATATTTACGTAAAATATATACTCCCTCTGTCCTAGGTAATTTGAGCTAGTTACTGTAGACACAAGAATTTAGGTAAAGTATGACTAGTAAGTACTTAACAAGTGTATTAGGAAAAATAATTATTGTACGGTAAAAATAATTATAGATTAAGATTAAAATAACTAAATAGTTCAATTAAGATTAAAAAAATTATAAAATTTAAAATTTAAAATGTAATTAAAGTGTATAATTATATTTCCAAAAAAAGAAAAGACAAGTTATGTGAGACGAATCAAAATAGAAAATAGGGGCAAATTATGTGGACAGGGAGTAAATATTTTTAAAAATGATAGGCTATTCATTAATATTAAATTTTATTACATTAATATTGATTTTTTTATTACAAAATATTATAATAAATAATTAATTTTGATTATTCTAAAAATTTCCAAAATTTATATCTTAACGTGTATTTCCTTTATTTTAAAATCAAAGAGTGTTGATTTGTTGATTTCAACACGAAATTTAAAACACTAGTTAAAAAAATATAAAAAGAAAAAGAAAAAGAGGGAGAATCATTAATATGTTGGAGGGCTAATTGCATAATATAATTATATTAAAGTAAAATATGTTGTCGGCTTAGTTTGCGAACTATTAGATTCAGTTGGGGGTTCACTTAGAGTACACTCAACGAGTAACAACTACAGTTTTTACATTATAAAAAATATATATATATGTCCAAAAATATTTTTTTTATACAATGTTGATTATGTAAATAGTATACAAATAAAAAAGTTGAAATATAGTACTCCTTCCGTCCCTTATCAAATAAGTCATTTGGAGTTTTATAATAGATTAAAAAATAATAATATTTTATTAATTAGTGTAAGTATGTGTTATGTTTGTAATTTAGATAAAAATTAAGAATATTAGTATATGATTACATTTTTTTAAAATATGAACACTACAAAAAAATTCATTGCAAATTCATTATGTGATGGATTGTACATCAAAATGGAAACCGTCTCAAATTATTTGTTGTAATTTCCATACAACTAAACTGAATTCCGTTGCAGAAAATTGCAATGGAAGCAGCAACGGGAATTCCGTCGCAATATCATAGGACTTACATTGGAAAGAATCTCTTACTATTTCCATCGTAATATTAGAGAATATTACAAAAGAATAAATCTATTGTTAATTCCATCACAATATTTAAAAAGTATTACAAGAGAATAATTTTGTTTCTAATTCTATCACAAAATTCATGCCACAATTCAATTATTTTGCTTTTTTTGTCCGTTTTTCCAAATATATATATAGCTAATATATATTCAAATATAAATGAGTCTTATGAACAAAATATCATTAGCAAATATCAACAAATGTAAAAGTTAGCAAATACCATATAAAAATATGTAAAATCGTAGCTAACAAACTATAATTTATTTACTCAATATCATATTTCACTTAGGTCTAACCATCTAACTTAACTCACCAATCAACCTAAGAATAACTTATCCCAACATTTATAATAGTAACACAACAAAAATCTAAATTATGATAAAAATCCAATCGAAATTCATCAGCAACTTAAAAAAATAAGCTTGTTTAACAATATAACAAATCTATCATCCAACATAATTTAAAAAATAAAAAAATAATTTTAGTTACAATGATTATGAAAGCGATAATGAAAATCAATTCACAATTACTTTAGATGCTTTCGGTTAATATACTCATGACGATTGTAACCTTTAGTATGGACCCACGTACATGTGTCAACCTTATTCATCCCATAAATGTTTACAATAGATAAATAAAATTAATAATTAAATTTGAAAAAATTATTAATCAATGTCAACAAATAAATAAAGAAATACCAGCATTTGCGGTGACTCCATAAAAAATTGCGAGCCGCCTGTCTGCGTCAACTCAACTAGAAAAGGGATTGTAAGCATAAATGGCTATAAGTTTTTCATTACCATTCAAGCAAGAACTTAGTTTGCCATTGCGTTTGAAACTCCAAGTTGGTAGCGGCCTCATTCGAATTGCTTAGCTTCTGCAGTAAACATGAGCTTAGTATTTGATTATGAAAAAAAAAAAGGGTTTTAAGCATAGATGGCTATAAGTTTCCATTACCATTCGATCGCAGACAGGAACTGCCAATCCCTGATATCTCTTGGCCTGTTTATGCATTTGCAATTGAACCTTAGATAGCTCCTCCGAACCCGCAAATCTTTTGAGATTCAGCAGCTCTTGCTCCAGCTTTTTAAGTTTAGGCAAAACTCCATTTTTGAGACACCATTATCTTGCCAAGGGGATTCCCTTCTGAAACAAAAAATAAATAAATAAAAAGAAAATTTATTAACAACCATAAATATAATATAGCATCATAGTTTTTTTGAAATTCTCTTGCAGTGACAGAGCAATAGCATTACCTAGAGACAAAACATTTTAAATATGAAATGGATTCATAGTGTTGTTGAGGCTGCAAATCCTAGATTGATAAGAGACAATTAGACATAAAGAAGAAACTTTCTCTAATAATCAAACTTGACAGAGATATGCTATATCACATGGCCTTAAACAGATTAGTCTTATTCTCAAATATGAAGGCATTTGTTTTGGCTTGCCTTCAAAGGTCAATTCCCATCAAAGAAACCAAACATCCAGGAAGAAGACAAACTATGATATGTACAAATGATAAGAAAAATGAATCAGAATATCAAAAAACAAAAACTCAATCAAGAAAGAAAAACAAGTGCAGCCAAAACATACTTGTTAAATAAGTGCTGATACCTCTGCACCAAATTTCAGAGATATGTTGCAACTACTCTTATACTTAAAGATATTGATTTTATGATTTTACACAACATAAGTTAACCCCATCAATACATATACAAGAAAAAGAAACAAAAATTATTACATCATTCCGACACTATGTATCAAAGAATTCTCTCACCAGCAAGGAATCCATTCCTCCATTAGATAGTATACCTATATGAAATAATTTAATAATACAAAAGCTAGAATAACTAAATGAACAAAACCCATGATAAAGAATGTAAGAGAAAGATAAATTTAAAATCTTTAGTCCCAAAAGTACCACCTACCTGCCAAGACTAGGCTTTAGCAGACCATAAGTTTGAAGCAAAAAAATAATAAAAATTCAAGAAGTCATCAGGATGAAAGACACTTTGAGTGTGTCCAGAAGCATAAACAAAAACATCAGCACCATCTCCACCCCTCAAAATAGAAAACTAGACATGACCTAAATATTAATCAGAATTGACGTAAATACATGAGATGACCAAACAAAATTGAATCGCTAAATATGGTCTTACCAAGACAATGAGCACACCAACGTCTTTAGTTCCTTATCTACAAAGCTTATCTGGAAAATGTTAAGAGCAGAGGATGAACAAATGCATTGAAAAATAATAAAGAACTATACAAATTTAAATTTAAAACTCAAACTATAGACTGTTTCACTATTGAGACACAGTTATGATATACATTGTACTTGCACAATGAAATAATAATGTGTTCATAACAAACATTTTAAACAACTCAAAACATACCCTTCAGTATTTTTATTTATGATGAAATATTTCAAAATAAATATGCTGAAAGAAAGAATCAATGTGCTTGAGAGCATTTTAGATACTAACTTTGTCAAGTAAAAATTCTGAATTTTGTTTTGTTCAAAAAGGAATGGCAAAAGTACCATTTAGTATTCAAACATGGAATAAAATCACAATCCTAAGATTTGTCTAATGGGTCCATAATTGAGACTGCATACTGATCCTCAAATACTTACAGTGCCTTTTTCCTGATGATACTACAACATATCCTCAAATGCTCTCTGTCCCTTTTCCTGATACTGCAACATATTTTGGCCACACTTCTAACATATATATATATATATATAGAAACCAGATATAAACAAAGTTAGAAGTAGAATCAAAAGCACCAAAATATTGGAATTCATGTTTGTTCTATACAGAAATGGGAGGATGGCCAAGCAAAGAGGTTGGCTCATTTTTCTTTTTTTTGGATGACACTTGGTTAATTTGCACAATTCCAATAATAAAACAATACAAATAACTGAAAATCATCCATCCATTCTACTATAATATTGACATAAACAACATATCACAAATTAATGCAAAATATCTAAAACAATACGATTTCAAATTAGAAAATAGCTAATTACTTAAAGGAACTAATGAGCTCACTTACTTTTGGTGTAATCACCGAGGCAGGAGATGAGTATAGATCCTATGGCCTCAAGTATCGTCACCGTCCGAAATGAACACCCGAACCTCAGGCTCTCCCGCAGTTGGCTCACTAGACAGTGCAAAACAAAACCATACAATACAGGTGATCATCTATTCGGAATGGTATTTACATTTAGCATATGCAAGAATGAAACCAAGAATTCAGCCAAATTGATTCGCCAATCAGCTGTGTTTTTCTAATCATCATCAAAACTAAGATGAAAATTTCAAAATTCAATTGAGTGTCTATGTTTGGATAAAACCTAATTTGATCTATATTCCCCAACCTCATACATCATCCTACCTAAAACTCAACCACTGAAAGCAAACAAAACCTACAGTGATTCAACCGAATCCTGAATTAGATAATCAATGATCGATCTATTTCCAAAAACATGTTCCAACACACAAACAAAATGGAAGAAACAATGAAAACGACACATAACTTACACCAATGAAGATGAAATTTCGAAGAGTGGCGTCTCACAGCTGAAACTTGGCAGCGGACAATGGTCGGAGGCACCGGAGAAGAGCGGCGATTGATAGAGGAATGGCGGAGGTGCGGCCGCAGTGGCAAGGATTGAGTGGCGGAGGCTTCGGGGTCGCGTGCAGCTGAACGGGAGAAGAAGGCGATGCCGGTAGTGGTGGTTGAATCAGCGAAGTAATGGATTAGGCAAGCGTTTGGGAGTGGAAGACATGGAAGTGGGGAGACGGGAAGATGAGGGAGTTCGTGAAATCGGCGAACGTGAAACCGCGGAGTTGGAGTTGGGTGGGTTTAGGGTTTAGATTGGGGAAAATATTTGTTGTGACGGATGGCGTATCGTCGCACAGTCAATTGCAATATTGCAACGGATTTCCTTTATTCGTCGTATTAAAATTAAAAAACTTGGTATGAATATATATTTTGCGACAATTTGAATTTTTTTGCAAAATCCTTCACTGAATTATGTCAAATTAAATTGATTATTTTGCGATGAAACATTTTTTATTGCAAATTCCATCGTTACATTGCAGTTTGTTATATCGGTCCCAATATTACATTGCAAAAGTGATTAATTAAGACAGATTGTATTTACCTTTGCAATTTCCGTTGAAACATTGTAACAGAATATAAACCTTTGCAAAATTCCATCGTAATTTTAAATTTTTTTAATGAAAAAAGATACTTTGAAATGAAACGACGAAAATGATAAAAATAATAGTTTGAATTCGAACAAATAAAGTACTATTAAATAAAAATTTTTAAATAAAATAATATAAATAATTATTGAAGATGAATTTGAAGATAAGTCAGTGATCTAATTTTTACACACTGTGACATGAAAAATTATCAATGATATATTTATTTCTTTTTATATATATTACTCAATCTGTCGTCCCAGATACCGTGTTCTGCTACACTGTAGACACGGTATTTTAGAAGCATGTAATTAGTAGATAATTAAGAATATATTAGTGAAAATAATTATCTTATAATATAAATAATTATAAATCAAGATTAAGATAACTAATTAGTTTATTAAAATTAAAAAAAAAATAAAATTAAAAAAATTAAAATGAGATTAAAGTGTGTAATCATGACGAATGGAGTATTATTTTTCTTTATTATTGGTATAAAACTTGAATGATTAGTCAGGTGTTTACAACATCACCGATGGATAATAAATATATTTTGTATGTACTTTAATTTTTAAAATATATAAATTAAAAATAATGTAATACATAAAACAAAAAATATATTTTTATATTTAAAACATAATATGGATGGATGAATATTATGCAATTTAGGGTATGTTGGACATATGATTAAATATACGAGGATACGATCCTAAAGTTATTATTTGAAATGTTACACATAAACAACGATTGTTTCATCTTCATTCATCTTCATTCCTTCGAACAAAGTTTCCACATGATCCAGATTAATTCCCGAACTTGTATTGATTCTTCGAATGCATTTTCCAGAATGTCCCAAGCTTCCTTAGCAAATTTGCAGTTGAATATCAGTTTTGTCTTAGTTTCATCTACAGCGTTGAAGATCGAAAAAAGAGCTTTTGAGTTGGCGATTGAAGAAGATTTTTCATTTAGAGTCTATTCTCTTTTTGGTTTCTTCACAAGAGAGGTAATATCATTTTCATCTTGGATGGTCTTCACGGGATAAGACCATGCAAACTCCACAGCATCAGAAACATATTCACCTTGTAACATCATAAAAGCTTTCATCTTGTTTTTCCAACTTCGATAGTTTGTTCCATCAAACAATGAAAGTCTCGACGTTGAACGACCTTCCTTTCGCATCTTTGCAACTGTGAAAGAATCTATTCAGTAACTTAGAGAACACTGCTCTGATTCCAAATGTTGGGAAAATAGGTGTTGCACCAAATCACCTTCGAACACCTATTCAAGGGTCAACTTCCGAAGCGTAGTTATATTACAGTTGTAACAACATCTTGTCAACGAAATAAATATAGTGGCCAAAACAACAAATGACAAGATATTTTGGTAATCCGGTTCGGTTATAACCAACCTACATACGGAGGATTCCAATTCAAGAGAAGTTCACTACTCCTTTTACCCAAACTACAATTACCTAGGAAAATCTCTCCACAGGTATAAGTTGTCACAAACGCGTAATGACAACTAACAAATAGCTGAGCTACTCAGAATTTGAATGTTCCCTTGATCGGAACTCCGAATTCCCTTTGACCGACGAACTCTCCAGCGAGATAGCAGTGTATAACACTCACTCAATGAATGGAGAAGGGAAAGGTTGGGGTTAAGAGTATTAAATACACTTTCTCTCACTACACTTCACTCTCTAAACCCTTACAACAACAAAACTTTCCACACGTCTTACAATTTAGCAGCCATGTAAGACATGCAAGACAAACCTAATTAAAATCCATTACACTAAAAAGGTATTGTATCTCTGCATAATCTATGTTGCCAAGTTGACTAACCAAAAGCATATTCTTTTGTCTTTTCTATACTTCCCTAACCAAGAGAGAAGAACCAGCATGTTGCAGACAGGTTGATGCAGCAACTAAACAAGACACATTACTAAAAATGTTAAAATGAGAAAGACAACAAGAAAAGTAAACATGCAGGTGCCCATATGCCAAAATATATTGGAAAATTCTTGTACCAAAATAAATATACGGATGAATTCTCACTATTATTCTAGTGACTTAAGGGAATGATATATTACATTATATAAAAATTAAATTTCATTAAAATGAATATAATGCAACAATTTTCATTCATATATTACAAAAACAAAAAATATTGAAACATAGAAAAAAAGTACATAAGTAACTAAATAAAATACAAAATCAACAAATGCCCTGCCATTCCATTGGAGGCTAAATTATAAAAACAAAGAAGACAACAAATATTAAATGAAATAATTGAAATCAAATCATATTCTTTGAATTAAAAAGATCGATAGATTTAGCGATACTAGTTGTAGCCATTGTTGAATTCTTCATTTTCATCTTTTTTTTGCTTTTCGGCGTGCTTCACTTTCTCATAGAAAGAATCTTTCTTTTGAGATTTCTTTTTACATGTCTTTTCATCTCCCTTCAATTGATCGTTTTCGTATGGCAAAAATTCTTTTCCATGAGGTAAATCTTCATCCTTCCAATAATGATCTTGAAATTCTTTCCCATGAGTAAAGCCTTCCCCATTGATTAATCCACCATCATGCCCTAATGGTCCTTTTCCATAAGTCAGGTCTTCAACTTTGTGATCTTTTCCTAACGATCTTTTTCCATAAACCGAGCCCTCTACTTTACCATCATGCCGCAAAGATCCCTTTTTATAAATTGAGCCTTTTTCTATGTCGTCTTGTCCTAAAGATCCTTTCCCATAAAACGAACCTTCTACTTTGACATCTCTTCCCAAAGAGCCTTTTCCATTAGCCGAGCCTTCTAATTTACCATCTTCTCCCAAAAAGCCTTTTCCGTTAGTCGAGCCTTCTAATTTTCCATCTTCTCCCAAAGAGCCTTTCCCATAAACCGAGCCTTTAGCTTTGCCATCATCTCCCAATGATCCTTTCGCATAACCTGAGCCTTTCACTTTGCCATCTTCTCCCAAAAAGCCTTTCTCGTAAACGGAGCCTTTTGCTTTGTCATCATCTCTTAATGATCCTTTCGCATAGCCGGAGCCTTCCACTTTGCCATCTTCTCCCAAAGAGCCTTTTCCGTAAACCGAGCCTTTTACTTTGCCATCATCTCCCAATGATCCTTTCGCATAACCTGAGCCTTCCACTTTGCCATCTTCTCCCAAAGAGCCTTTCCCGTAAACCGAGCCTTTTGCTTTTCCATCATCTCCCAATGATTCTTTCGCATAACCTAAGCCTTCTACTTTGCCATCTTCTCCCAAAGAGCCTTTCCCGTAAACCGAGCCTTTTGCTTTTCCATCATCTCCCAATGATCCTTTCGCATAACCTGAGCCTTCCACTTTGCCATCTTCTCCCAAAGAGCCTTTCTCGTAAACCGAGCCTTTTTCTTTGCCATCATCTCCCAATGATCCTTTCGCATAACCTGAGCCTTCCACTCTGCCATCTTCTCCCAAAGAGCCTTTCCCGTAAGCCGAGCCTTTTGCTTTGCCATCATCTCCCAATGATCCTTTCGCATAACCTGAGCCTTCCACTTTGCCATCTTCTCCCAAAGAGCCTTTCCCGTAAACCAAGCCTTTTGCTTTTCCATCATCTCCCAATGATCCTTTCGCATAACCTGAGCCTTCCACTTTGCCATCTTCTCCCAAAGAGCCTTTCCCGTAAACCGAGCCTTTTGCTTTTCCATCATCTCCCAATGATCCTTTCGCATAACCTGAGCCTTCCACTTTGCCATGTTCTCCCAAAGAGCCTTTCCCATAAACCGAGCCTTTTGCTTTGCCATCATCTCCCAATGATCCTTTCGCATAACCTGAGCCTTCTAATTTTCCATTTTCTCCCAAAGAGCCTTTCCCGTAAGCCGAGCCTTTTGCTTTGCCATCATCTCCCAATGATCCTTTCGCATAACCTGAACCTTCTAATTTGCCATTTTCTCCCAAAGAGCCTTTCCCGTAAACCAAGCCTTTTGCTTTTCCATCATCTCCCAATGATCCTTTCGCATAACCTGAGCCTTCCACTTTGCCATCTTCTCCCAAAGAGCCTTTCCCGTAAACCGAGCCTTTTGCTTTTCCATCATCTCCCAATGATCCTTTCGCATAACCTGAGCCTTCCACTTTGCCATCTTCTCCCAAAGAGCCTTTCCCGTAAGCCGAGCCTTTTGCTTTGCCATCATCTCTCAATGATCCTTTCGCATAACCTGAGCCTTCCACTTTGCCATCTTCTCCCAAAGAGCCTTTCCCGTAAACCGAGCCTTTTGCTTTTCCATCATCTCCCAATGATCCTTTCGCATAACCTGAGCCTTCCACTTTGCCATCTTCTCCCAAAGAGCCTTTCCCGTAAGCCGAGCCTTTTGCTTTGCCATCATCTCCCAATGATCCTTTCGCATAACCTGAGCCTTCCACTTTGCCATCTTCTCCCAAAGAGCCTTTCCCGTAAACCGAGTCTTTTGCTTTTCCATCATCTCCCAATGATCCTTTCGCATAACCTGAGCTTTCCACTTTGCCATCTTCTCCCAAAGAGCCTTTCCCGTAAGCCGAGCCTTTTGCTTTGCCATCATCTCCCAATGATCCTTTCGCATAACCTGAGCCTTCCACTTTGCCATCTTCTCCCAAAGAGCCTTTCCCGTAAACCGAGCCTTTTGCTTTTCCATCATCTCCCAATGATCCTTTCGCATAACCTGAGCCTTCCACTTTGCCATCTTCTCCCAAAGAGCCTTTCCCGTAAGCCGAGCCTTTTGCTTTGCCATCATCTCTCAATGATCCTTTCGCATAACCTGAGCCTTCCACTTTTCCATCTTCACCCAAAGAGCCTTTCCCGTAAACCGAGCCTTTTGTTTTTCCATCATCTCCCAATGATCCTTTCGCATAACCTGAGCCTTCCACTTTGCCATCTTCCCCCAAAAAGCCTTTCCCGTAAACCGAGCTATTTGCTTTGCCATCATTTCCCAATGATCCTTTCGTATAACCCGAGCCTTCTAATTTTCCATCTTCTCCCAAAGAGCCTTTCCCGTAAGCCGAGGCTTTTGCTTTGCCATCATCTCCCAATGATCCTTTCGCATAACTTGAGCCTTCCACTTTGCCATCTTGCTCAGAAGATCCTCTCCCATAAACTAGGCCTCCCAACTTGTCATCATGCGGCAACAATCCTTTTCCATAATCCAAACCCTCCTTATTTAAGCCACTCTTCGGTGATTCTTCCCCATAAGTAGATCTCTCTCCCTTTAGAAAGTCGTCGTCATGCCCACCTATAAGCCCTTTTCCATGGGCATAGCCCTCTCCCTTTGTCGATGGATCGCCAAGATGTAACATGCGGCGCGCAACAGCTTCGCATTTTCGAGTACTTGTTATGGCGATCACCATGACAACCAAAATGAATGTAGACTGCAGCTTGGAGCTGCCCTTTCTTCCCATCATTTTATGTATCGAAGCAAATTTAATCCAAATCGAAGTGTCAGAAGATAAAAACTTAGGAAGAGAACATAAACTGTTTATATTTGATTAAGAAGTACTTTGAAGATGTTTGGATATGTCTTCATTGGACCTATTTATAATGCTTTGATATGCCTTGATTATTTGGCTGTCATTAGTTCATTATAGATAATTTAAACTAAGCACTTCAAATGCATAAGGGATTTGGAAATCAAGCCACCACGTCTTAGGGTTCAAATCTTTTTGGGATTTGATATATATATATATATATGGCTATAGTTGGATTTTTTTTTTTTTTTTTTATTCTATTTGGAGATATCTTTTTCCTTCATAAAAAATAGGAAAATTTATTATGAAATACGTTTACAGATTTGTGTTTTTTTTTTTTTTTTTTTACTATATGTATATATGATGTATTATATTTTTATATCTTTTGGTAATAGTTTTATGGAATCATATAAGAGCAAATATTAAGTGAACATGTTAAATATAAAAATACATATATAAAATAAAATACAAACAGAAAATACTTATGATTTGTTTATTTTATATTATTGGGCAATCGTTATTCACAAATCATGTTGGGAGAACGAAGGCCTATAATATTTTACCCTTTTTTTTTTATAATTTGAGGTAAAATAGATATTAACTATTTTATCCGTCCATAATTTTATTATTTATATTATAATGAACTATGAATTTGTTCACTTAGCATATTTAAATTAATTATTTTTTATAAATAATACTAAAAAATACAATAAACATATACATTAATATAATATATAATATATATTTTATCTATTTATAAAAAATCAACAATTTAATATAAGATAATATTTTTTATATTACTAATATAATTCTAGATATCTAATATAAAAAACACTTCCAGCTAAAAGCAAAAAATAAACAAAATTCATTTTCATTTTTTTCATTGCCTTTTTTCAATTTACCTTATTACTCCTTTATTCAACTCTTTAATATTTTTTTTCATAATACACTTACTTTATTTTTTATTTATATTCTCATTATATTAAAACATTATTAATTTGGTTTTCGTATTCAGTTAAATTATATAAATATCCCGAACATAGAATTATAGAAAAGATATACTCCATCACTCAATATCACTTTTCTTTACCAAAAAAAATAAAAATTTCTATTCTTACATATTTTTTTTTTAAAACTCGTGTCCGGTCAAATGAATACACAATTGGACGACGGATGGAGTATTTAAATAACTCACCCTAAGTTAGCCATGCTTTAAATATGTATATATATATATATATAAAATATGTGTATTTTAGTATTGATTTATATATATGGGTTGACGTGAGGATGCTGTAAAGACGTGCATATTAATTTGACGAATCCCATAATTGTTAGATCAAAAAAGACATGCATCCATCAAAGTTTCAATAATTATTCAATAAAATTATAAAATATTATATGATTATAATAGTCGACGTGGTTGTTATAATTTCCAAATTAAATAAACTTAACATAGATAGATTATAATAGTCGACGTGGTTGTTATAATTTCCAAATTAAATAAACTTTACATAGATAAATTTAGAGGTATATTTATTTTGGATTTTATTAGATTTAAAAAAATCTATTGATTTATGTTGATTTAATAAATTTTATTAATTTTATTTATTGATTTAACTGAATTTTTATAAATTTGATTGGGTTATTTATAGATTTATATGAATTTCATAGTATTGTAGAATAATTTTTTTATTAATTTATATAATTTGTATAAATGTATATGAAATATATTTGTATATAATTAAAAAAATATTCAAATAATTAAATAAAAATATAATAGTTAAAAGATACATTAAATTATCTATTATTCTAATCTTCATTCTTACTATCTTCATTTTTATCACCATTATACACATTTGTTACATGTGTACGTGTTTGTTACATGTGTACGTGTGGAGTATTAATTTAACAAATTTAATGTGAAATAACAATATAATAAAATAGATATGAAAAAAATATATATCTTATTGTCAAGTGATTTGGGTTCAAATTCTTTCTTTTATCTTTTTTTTTTAATTAAATCTATTTGAATATTTTTTTATACTAGAGAAAATAACAATTAATTTAGAATTTCAATTAAAAACATATATTTTTGAAAATTTTGTTAATAATTCGCTATTATATTTTAATTTCTGAAATTATTATTATTATATTTTGCTAGTATATTAATTTTTAAAAGCATAATAATAATAATAATTTTAAAATTCTATTAAAGTTTCTCCCGACAATGAGAGATTTTTTACCGTATTGTTTATTTATAATTTTCTATAAGAATCTAACAAAATTCATAAAATTTTAAAGTTTATAAATTGTTGAATACTCTTAATTTCAAAAGACTTTTAAAAATTGCGATTGAATATCTCCAAATTTTAAAATAAAGTCTGGATTAAATACATTTAGATTTTAAAATTTTGGATTAAATACACTCAAATTTTGAAAATCCAACGGAATCCTATAAAATTATGATTGAATACGCTCCCTGGTTTCATTATGTGTTCGTTTATCATTCCATATCCATTTTATACTAAAATATGCAAATGTATATAGGTGGGTTCACCTAGGGTGTGTTGGTTTGTAAGATTTACACAGAATTTTACCGTGGTTTTACTGTTTAAATCCACAATCTACAAATCCCAAAACTCCCCACCTACAAATCATATTCTCCTGTTAGGTTTGCCACAAATCACTTTTCAACTTTTCTTTTTTTTTTTTTTCATATTTTATTTTTGTCACTACAAATTTCCAAATCAGCCTTCTACTTCGGCCAAAGAATGTTGAGGTGCCGGCGACGGCAACAACCGGCGAAAGAAGGTGGCGGAAGAAGGTGTAGAATTTTTAAAAATAAAAATAAAAAAATGAGAAATCAAAATTGTTAAAATAAGGTAAAAAAAAAAGAAAAGAAATCAAAACTCATCAGATGTTCCAGCGGTCGGCGGCGGACCTCGTCTCTGGAAGAAAGCGGCGGCAGAAGATGGGGAAAGGGAAAAAAATAATAATAAAAAAATAACGAAGAGAAGAAAATGAAAAAAGAAGAAAGGAAAAGAGATTGAGGTCGCAGCAGATAGAATGTATTTGTGGAATAGGATTTTTTTTAATCACAAACGTCAAATCAAATTATATTTTATTTATTTATTTATTTTATTTATTTAAATAATATTTAAATATTAATTTATTCAAAATATCACATCAATATATCAAATATTTCAATAAAATAATAATTTTTTTCAACATAACATTACAAAATTCAAACCCTCAAACAAACACAACTTAAAAATTCTTACTTCAAAATTTTCAAAAATCCAAATCCAAAATTCAAACCCCCGACAAACACACCCCTAGTGTTTTTAGGTGGAATTATCCTACATAAATATTATTAAAAATATATACTCCCTTCGTCGAAGAACTATAGTCTAGGTTGTGATTGACACGGGATGGGTAAAAAATACGGATAAAAGACTTTTTTACCTTTGTGGGTATATTAGTATAAAAAGTAGTGGCAATTGTGTAATAATAATGAAAAAATAAGGATAATTTTATAGTGATAAGATTATTTATGGAAATGAAACTATTGTTTTAGGACGGACAAAAATTGTAAACAAGACTATTCTATGGGACAACGGAAGTAATATATATTAACATAATATATATATACATACTACAAAAAAATCAATAATTCAATACAAAATATTGTTGTAAATAAAAGTATTTTTGTTTATAATTTTAATAAACAGGTATTCCCCTTCCCATCTATTATGACTTTCATTTGGGCACAATTATTAAGAAAATCTATATTATAAAGTTAATTATTTTTAATAAAGGAGATCTTCTATAATTTCGCACATGAGTTGTGATTTCTTGGTTTCGTCCGATCATTAATAACTTAATTATTTTTAGATCCAAATCCATCTGAAACAAGACAACAAACGATATCTTAAAACAATAAAAATAACCGAAAACGAGCTAGTGACAACAATAATAGTCATACACTACGGCCAAGTTTCGACTAGAGTGAAAAGGCATAAACTTTATTCGTTAATCATCGTCACAATCTCAGAACCCCACGAAATCTTTGGCCAACGGAAAACGGAATTTGGAATTATAACACGACCATAAGTCGAACTTAATCTCATCAAGTACGAAATTTGACTTCAAATTTGGGTCTTTTCGATTTCAGTTTAAGTAACAAAAATCCTTTTTTTTTTCATATTTACATAAAAAAAACAAAAAAATTATAAATCCAAAAAGGTACAAAATGTATACCGGTAAGAGACATTATCAAATAGCATCCTTAAATTTTGTAAGAACTCTTAAGAAACATAAATAGCATCGAAGCACACGAGGATTCAGATCATTCGGTATTTCACAAGGTACAAATTTAGTTTACCCTTTTTATTACGCATAAATCGATGAACCAAAAGCCGATCAAATACATCCAACAACATTGTTCAACTTTCGACACGTGGAATTCGGTCCTAACGACTAATAACAGCAACAACCAAACTTAGATAGCATACCTATCAGCTCATTAGTAACCACATTACGACACACACACACTTGCGCCGCAACCACAATCAATAACGTCAGAAACACGACAACGAATTTCCATTACCAACATGATCAATGACCGAGATATAGCTTTCCAAATGGAGGTACAAATCGATCACAACGACCCGGAAAAAGTTTCAGACACATGTGTATAGAAACAAACCCAAACTAGCTATCTCTCTACGAATTATTTCATCACACTTTTTTACCTCATCAAATCAGCTGTTAAAATTTCTCCATGGTCGATCAATTATTACAACACTGATCCATGATTTTGATTACAACGAAGATTCAAGAAACTCCTTTCACATAATCATTTCAAACTCCTAAAATTACTCAAAGATGAAAAATATTATATTTCAAATTAACTCTTCGCACATTCTTTATCCAAC